TCTAAGATCATCTTCCTAAATTCAAGATTACTAGGCACATAGATTTTATTCTTGAACCCCAAAACACCATCAACTTCTACTCGTAAAGGGTTATACCCCTACCAACCCTCTCCACTTGGTTCACTAAGAAAGGATCTAATTCCTGGGGTTCTCTAATCTCATCCATTAATTCACCAGTCACTTTCAACATATTCAATTCAATGCTCCTAAGGGTAAGCTCACATACCAAGCTTAAGTCTCTAACCTCCTCAATCAAGTTCAACCTTTAAATCATCAAAGACGATAGGTGAATGATCATCTTAATCAAAGCATCTGCCACAATATTAGTTTTACTTTTATGACCCTCTCCAAGGATTAAGCGCCTAAGTGTAAGTTCACTACGTACTCATACTCAGTCTCCAAGTCTTGTTACCAAAATGAATCAACTAATTATGTTTCTTCATTTTCTTTCAACAATCCACTCGTTACTCGAGTCATACCTAGTCTCACACTACTAGGAGTAATCTTCACAAGTCAAACTTAAATCCTTAGACCGAGCCAAAAGGTCCATCTCTCTAATCTTAAGAGAAGTTAAAAGTAGAGATTTCCTACTCAAAGCATCGACCACCACATTGGCTTTATCCATATAACAACTAAGATTAAAATCCTAGTCCTTAAGAAATTTTAACTATCTCCTTTGTCTCATATTCAACTCCTTTGGTCAAAAGATATTTAAGACTTATGATCACTAAATACCTCAAGCTTAGAATCATACAGGTAATGTCTCCAAATCTTAGTGTAAATATCATAACCGTGATAAGTGTCTAACTAGTATGATTAAATATGCATTTGAGACACTTATCTAGCACAATTTTTGTACATATTGATATAATTTTTGGTCTATATATACTTAGAATCAAAAAGGGACTTTTGAATTATGTTAGTACAAGGAGTGATGAAGCTTTTGATCAAATTTGGTGTTTATTTTGTAGGTTTTGAAATTTGAAGGAAAGTGGCTCAGTCACTCAAAAGCGCTGAGCAGATTCAAGCCAGAGAGCTCAACAAATGCAGCCTAGGAGAGGCGCTCAACCACTCTAATCCGCTCAGCGAATTTGGCCCTAGAAGAGAAGGAGTGCTCTCTGCCTCCAAGGCGCTCAGCCACTCCCATCCGCTGAGCGGATTTGGTCCAGGAAAAAGGATGCTCTCTGTCTCTTAGGCGCTCAGCGGATCTGAGGCACCCAACCCTTATGCTTGCTTAGGATTGAAGGATCTTCGAGGCTCTCAGCGGATCCAAGGGGCTCAGCCCTTTAGGTTACTTCATGGTGAAGGATTCTTCAAACCGCTCAGCCGTTTCAAGGCGCTGAGCGAATTCGTCTCTTTCCTGTTCACTCTGTTTTAATTTTATCACATATATAAAGGCAGAGGAGAGAGAAAAGAGGATCATCGGGAGCTGTACGAAGAGAAAACAGAGAAAGGGGAGAAACAGAGCACTTTGGAGCTCATGGGTAAGGTAATTCCTCTCATGAATTTTCATTTTTCTAGAAACATAAGCTACTACCTGTCCTTCCACCCCAAACCCATCTTCGACGCATCACCATACCCCATAAAAGATTCACTAAGATCTGGTAATATTAACACTAGTCAATCTTTCCTTAAGAGTATGGAAACTAGTCTCACACTATCCCAAGAAAACTCCTAACCTTACTAACTGACTTTGGTATCTCCCACTTAAGCATAACTTCTACCTTAGATAAATCTATGTTATACCTCCACTAGAAATTACAGGACCTAGAAAAACTCACCTCATACAATCATTCTCAGATAACTTAGCATAAAACTGTCTTGGATATATCTTCATCCTCATCTCCAATATGATGATATCACACCCTAAGGTCAATCTCACTAAACACACAAACATTCACTAATTGATCCCTAAGGTCATCTATCCACATATCAAATCATATTAGAATATCTACTTTAAACCTTCATATATACCATCCCTAAGCATGTACAAATCAATCATCATTTACTCCATATAGCATGTACATGAACCAACTTTACCACATAGCATTATACAACCTTAAACAACCTTCAATCTATATGACAACGCCTCAAAACATCATAACCAAATCAGTTTTTATCATTCCATTACCAAAGAAAATGACAGCATATATATCCCTTCAATAAATGTCAAAGAAAATGATACATAAAGAGTTATACTCATCCAAATGATCTCAAACCTATCTCAAAGAAAGCTAAGAGAATAAGCTACAACTCTTATGAAGACATGAGATTCTAAAAAGATTATCTCCTTAGCTAAAAATTCAAAAACCACAACAGATATATTCAGCGTTTACAGCTAGACCTCTGATCACCAAAGCAGCTATAACTGGAGTTCTAGACCTCCTTTCTACCTGATTCCAGTTCTATTGGAAAGATAACATCCAAGACTTCAACTTTCTTAAAGACTACAAAATCTAATTCTGTTAATACGGTACTCATACTGGCAGCTATAACTGGAGTTCTAGACCTTCATTCTACCTGATTCCAGTTCTATTGAAAAGATAAAATCCAAGACTTCAAATTTCTTGAAGACTACAAAATCTAATTCTGTCAATACGGTACTCATACTGGCACAACAAAATTGTAGCGAAAACATTCTCTACACCAGATAGCAATAGTGTATCAACATCTAAGGCCACGAAAACACCTCAACCCTTCCAAACTCACTCCTTTCCACCTCAAACTCATATCCAAGCTTCCCACCAAAACAACTCACATATTCAGCACAAAAGACTTAGAACTAAAATAAAATCTTCATGCAACCTAACCCTTAAAAAGGTTAATATGCAAGCATCAAAACTTAAGGAAATCACCAACACTTCGACCTTTCATCAAGAACACTCAAAGATCCAATGCTCAACACATAACCTCTTGGATTCAATCACTATAACTATAGATTTTGGAAACTCCATCAACCATAGACTCTTAATGCTTTCAACAGATCAATGTCTCAACCCAATCCAAGGTTCTAATAGTTTGTAGTTGATTAGTACAATACTTCCTGCACTACTACTTGCACATACGCTCGCAATACAAGCAATACCACCCAACCACTACTTCTTACGTAAGCAAGAAGTATTAAAACAATTAAGCAATCATATATAGCATCATCTAAGCTATATCATGTCTATCAACCAAATTATGAGAAAACAATACACATAATTAAATAAACAACAAACATAATCAATTATCACACTAGCATATCAATAAGTTCTACAATCAATTCATTCCATCATTCATCTACCAAACAAGCATAGTAGACTCATAACTCACGGCCGATTGGTGGGGTTGTCATCAATCTTTGCCTGAGCCACATTTTTGGAATCATTTGAGAATTATTTGAGAATTGTTACAAGTTTTAAAGTAGGGAATGCATGTATGGTAATTTAGATTTCAACCCTCTAGTCATTATGATTGTGTAAGATCGAGAAAATTTTCAAAAAGGATTAACCCATCGGTGGATAAAGTGTTTGAGTTGATCAAACTAAGAATATGGAGATGGATTAAAACAAAATATAAGGATGCGCTATTCTCCTTTTTATCCATCACAGGTTAAACTAGTCCTTTTCTTAAAAGAAATTTCCTGATTTTTGTTTCATTTAATCTAGTGATGAAAATAATAGCTTTGGGTTGTATTCTACAAACTTGTTTTTCTGTTAGACCATGTTGCTATGCAATTGCGATTTTTGTTTCATTTTTGATCTTGTAATCAATTCTAGTTATTAAAAACTTTGTCGATAATAAATAAAATTACACCTTTTCATTTTTAAAAAACAGAAACAAATTATTTCGTGTGTTTTTCTTCTTAAATACTTGTAGAGTCAATGATTAAAAATTAATGGTTAAAAATCAAATTTTTAACTAACAAGCTTGTTATACATTATATGATTTTTATTATAATTTTGATCTTTTAATCAATAGTTACATTTTATCTCTTATAATAAGAGTGTTCAACAATCAATTTATTTATTTTTAAATTAAATTGTCAAACCAATCCAACAAAATAAAATAATTAAAAAATTTGAAAATCGAAGTACCACATTTTTAATCAGTAATGATTTAGTTTTAGATTCTCACCTTTAAAACCAAACTAAAAAATAATAATAATAATAACAGTAAACATACTTGATCAAGGTAGTAATGGTAGTTTTAGAACTGATCTAATATATTATTAGGTTCAAAACAAATTTTAAGGTAGAGTCTTTTTAAAATAAATAATAATATCTTTTTGATAAAAAAAATATATCTTAGGGATGAATCTTGAAAAAAATAATTATATTTATATATTTTTTAGAGACAGATCTTTTAAAGTAAATTCTTTAAAATAAAAGAAGTAACTTTTAAGTTATAAAATTAAAATATATATATATATATATATATTAATATAAAATATATTTTTAAAAAAAGAGAGTCTAAAATGAGGGTCTTGTTGATCTTGAATTCTATCGATATAATATAAGCAACTTTGTCTTTGAAGTAGACCATCTCGAGCAATTTTATTTTTTAATAAGCATCTTGCGGTAAAGTTGCTTTTCTTTCTATTACAAATATACACTAAAAGGAAAATCATTGTATTATTCTTTTTTAAGATGTACTTTTCAATTTATTATAAACACAGAAAAATGGATTAATTAATTATGAAAACAATAATTTCAGAATCAGAGAATATTTAGCTAATGACAAGGTACTAAATAGACTAGAAAAATTAACTCAATATAATAGCTTTACGTGGAATGATAATAACGATGATTAAGAAACAAAGCAGAATGATTGAAAGTGATGTGAATTCCAGCTCATAAGAATCGCGCGCGAGATAAAAGAGGCAAAACATTCAACATATGTTCCTCCTTTTCTTAAGGATCTTCTTACAACCCTCTACGACAACTAAATAGTAGCCACATAAAAACAATTATTTTTAATTTTTTACCCTCGCATAATTTTAATAGAATCTGAGAATAATGAAGAGAGAAACAACATATGCACTCTCTTTTCTTGTTCTCTTACTCTTTTCTATATTACTTTTCAACTTCGTGTACCCTTTTGATCGACAGCTTCTTTCTCGCTTTGCTTTCTTACCACATAAATCAACACTCTTCAGAGCCTGCGACTATTCCAATGGCCATTGGGTATTGGATGAAACATACCCACGTCAATTGTACGATGAAAACTGTCCCTTTCTTGATCCTGGATTTCGGTGCCACCAAAATGGACGCAAAAATGTAAGTTTTCGTAAATGGAGATGGCAACCTCATGGCTGTGACATTCCCCGGTATGTGACTAGACTTTGTTATTCGTATGCATGTATATTGGACCTTGTCATGCACACTCATTGCTACTTGTTGCATGCGTCCATGCATGGCTATATATGCATGTTATGTATTCTTGATCGGTTTTCCATTGGTAATTGATGATGAGATAAAATAGAAGCTCCAATTGCCAACAATATTGAATCATGCATGTGGGTTTCGAGGTTACTATTTTGTTTATTTTTTTCTAAGATTTTAGAGAAGAAAAGGGGTTTGGGTGGAAAGTGGAGAATATGAAACAGTTTATAAAATAAAAAATAAAAATAAAAACTTGTGGACAACAAGATATCCTCACTTCTAATAAATAAGAACCTTGTCGAAAGCTCAGTAAGTGAAATGACATTAATAATCTATTAGACCAGTGTTTATGAATTTTAAAAAAAAATTATATATATGTAGTGAAGGGTGTACCCTTCATAAGTGTAAGGGAGAAAGAATTAAGTCTCAGTTGAATCCAATACTACATTTTTTTTTTTTATGGTTTAGAATTGCCATTCTGAATTTGACACTAGTGCTCCACTAATAAAACGGGAGTTATCCAAATGAAATACAATGGTTGAACATGTAACATTATAGTTTGACAGTTGACACATAATTCACATTTTGTTGGAAGCATATAGTGGGTACGATTCACGTTGTGTGATAGGCATCCCCTCCCCCCACAACATCGTACGTAAAAGTAACTACTAACTAGCTATTGAACGTTTTTTTTATATTTAATTTGTATGGTAATTTATAAAAGTCATGAGTAGGAACTTGTCTTGATGGTATCGTGATGTAACTCAGATTCAATGCCAGAGATATCCTAGAAAAGAATCGCAATGGACGCATTGTGTTTGCGGGTGATTCGGTGGGAAGAAACCAATGGGAGTCTTTACTATGCATGCTGACCAAAGGGGTTTCAAATGTATCTGAAATATATGAAGTGAATGGAAGTCCCATTAGCAAACACAAGGGTTACCTGGCCATGAGGTTTAAGGAATATAACACGACAGTAGAGTACTACAGGGTACCCTTCTTGTGTAGAATAGGTCGTCCACCACTTAACTCTTCCAATCATGTTCGAAGTACTATCAGGCTTGACGAGTTGCACTGGTATTCCAATAAATGGGTAGGAGCAAATGTTCTTATTTTCAATTCAGGGCATTGGTGGAACCAAGACAAGACTATCAAGTCGTAGGTCAACCTCAACCATTTCTTTCATAAAATTACTACCGGAAAATATTTGATGAACTTTGGATCAGATTTTTTTCTTGAAAAAAAAATATTGCAAGTGCTTTCTTCTAACGTTTTACAAAATAAAAATTTTGTTCTAGCACCGCATATAAAAATTATTCTTTTTAGGAGCCAAAAACTTTTTGAATACCAGTGCAAAAACTTCTTTAACATGAAAATTTGGTTCATAATTTTAAATTTATTTCGATTTAAATAATGCTGAAAGAAAAGTTGTAAATTCTCTTCTAAACTCGGAAATAACACATCTAAACTAGCTCCATAACTTTTTGCAGGAGCATCTACTTCCAGGAAGGAGGAAAGGTAAACATGACGATGAACGTGAAGGAAGCATTTACGAGATTCCTACAGACATGGAAATCATGGGCACTGCATAATCTAGATCCTGGCAGTTTCGTCTTCTTTCGTAGCTATTCCTCCGTTCATTTCAGGCAAGTGCATTGACACAATTTTTGTCTTGGACACTCAAATAAAAACCATCCAAGACATTCTAAGATAGACACAGGCAGAAGAAAAAAAAAATCTAACATTTTTTACACCCTCCGTTACACCGCGTTACTTGCATTGTGAGGCCTGTAGTCTATAGACACGACCCAATAGAATAAAAGCACATTTGGACAACACTCTTGCGGTCCCCGGTCACTACAAAAGTTAGCTTTCAAAAAGTAGATGAAAAAGCTTATCAATCAACATCGCTCACATCTCATTAAGTGAAAAAATCAGTTAATCGGAGTAAAAGTATATTAATAACATGTGAACCCAAATGTATTAAGACTGGGGGAAAAGAAGGTAGATAGGAAATGGTTAATATGAAGGTGGGAAGATTCAACTTGGGACCATAGCAGCCGAACCCCGAACAGAAACAGAGTTCAGCAGCAACACAGGTTTCCTGTGATGAATACCCTTTTGTTTATGACCAAATAACAAGAATCTCTACATGTATATAAACAACGAAAGAGGCATGTCTAAGTCAAATATTGTAGTTTCAGCAGTCAAACACGACGTTTTCAACTTTGCCCAAACAGAAGCAGGTAAATTAATTTACTTCAAAACTCTAGCTCAAATTCAGTCGTCCTACATCAGTTTTTGGTGATATCTTATGGCCATCCACACCCATGGTAAAATTATAGATAAAATACAGAAAAGGCGATTAAACTTGGAGGATAACATAGCTTTATAACTAACTGTTGGTGATTCAATTAGACATCAATTATGAATATGAAATTAGTTTTCCTGGTCCTCCCCCTTTCCCCCCTTTTATCACCAATATTGTAGTTATATTTGTTACTATGGATTCAAAACATATGTAATTGGGGGAGGAGTTTGGATGACATGGGCACAGATGCGAGCCTTACATTTGGACAAGTCTTTACTATACAGTGAAATTGCAGGAATGGCACATGGGATGATGGAGGACACTGTCACAAGGAGAAACAGCCAGAAAATGACCCCACAAAACTTGAAACTGAACCATATTACAACATATTTATATCTGATGTTGTCAAAGAGATGCAATATGGGAACCGGAAAGCCCACTTTTTGAACATCACATATCTTTCAGAGTTCAGGATAGATGGTCACCCTTCCAAGTATCGGGAACCAGGCACTCCACCTAATGCCCCACAGGACTGTAGCCACTGGTGCTTACCAGGAGTGCCAGACACGTGGAATGAACTTCTCTATGCCCAACTCCTATCTGAGAAATTTGATATCAACAAAAATTTTCCAGAGAGAGGATAACAAAGCGGTCCAATTTTCATCAGACCACAAAGAATTGTTTCGCTAGCTCTACAAAAATCG